GAAAATCGGGTGGCACATTCAGCTGCATCATTTACTGTGTAGCCTTTATAAAGAAATCCCTGGCATCTTGAAAGAGAAGAAACCCCGCCAAGGATGGCAATGGAGGATTTCCTAGCAGACGGCCAAATCTCCTGCATTTCCCTCCCTCTGGGGGCCCTCTCCTCCTCCGTCTGGCCTGGCACTGCTTCCTCTGGAATGGATCATCTATCCGGGCTGCTTTCCCCCTACCCTTCTGAGCAGCTGGTCTGCAAAATGGTCGTCAGTGAACCTGGCCTCCCTGAATCCACCTGCAGGCACCTCCCTCCCACACCGGATCTGGACTTGTGCTGTGACTTACTTGATGAGGTGCCTTAAGAAGGCCAGATGATTGGAACTTTTGCATTCTTGGAAGCCAACCACCGTGTGAAACTTCAAGTGCCCTGCTGAAGCGAGAGGCTACTGGAAAGGCCCTAGAAGATGAGCCACCACGTGGAAAGCAAGGCCACACGGAAGAAGACCGAGGCGCCATGTTGGAGGTGCCAGCCCAGGCGCCATCTGCCTCCAGATGCATGGGAGACGCCAAGACAGACCAGCAGAAGAACCCCCCAATGAGTCCTGTCAGCCCGCAGGATGTGTGAGATGACAATAAATGGCTGTTCTGAGAACTGCGTCTTGGGGTGGCTTGTTGCGTAGCAAGAGATAAAACATTGTTCCTTCATTACCAATAGCACAGCCATCTCCCCAAGCTCCACATCTCTCTCCCATAGCCACACCTCGTAAACTCCACCGCACAGTCACCACAGGGAAGAGAAAGCAGAGAGAAAGAGGCCAAGTTCAAGGGTGACTCCCTACAATTGTTGAGTTCCTGGCCAACAGCATCCTATTCTGTTTGTACCTGAGGTCCAGACCCTCCAGCCAAGTGTGGATTCTAGGAACAGCATGCAGGTCAAGGAAAGTTCTGTCTGTCCTGTTTGCGTTCCAATCTTACTAACCCCAGAAGTATTTCCCAAAGCTCTGGGAGTTTTCTCAGATGTCGTACAGTGTCTTCCAGGCCCCTGACCTCTGATCTCCGTTCCAGGGAAAAGCAGGCCACAAGGAATTCCTGGGCCAGGGTTAGGCTACTGGACTTGCCCACCCAGTGGGCCATGTCTGCCTCTTCAGCTCTTCCCTGGGGATGGAGATCCGGCTCCCTCCTCCTTCTGTCTTTCCCAGAAGCTGGTCCTCAGCCTCCATACACCCAAAAGTCTGGTGACAACCTCCTCCCCTGCTGGGCCTCCGTGTCTATGGAGGTGATCTGGGGCCTGGCGTGGAGCCCACAGAATGTATGTGCTTCTGCAGACTCCAGCCTCATATGAGGCCTCCATCACAGCTCCTCCTCGGCCAGGTCTCAAAGGTTAGGACAGTCCTCAACTCTCCTCCCCATGGCTGACGAGACCCTCCAGGAGGATTTTTCTGGCTGCTTCTACCTATGGGCCTTTACACGTCATGGGTAGCACCTGCGGGTATGATCTAAGGCCCCCTCCCTTTTCTGGGAGGAACTGATCCCTTCCCCCTGGCCGCCCCTGCAAGGCTGCCCCATCCCCTGAAGAGCCGGGATCCTTGAGGCCAGTCCTTGGCCCTCCGCACTCCTCTGAGGTTTTCCTAGAGGCTGCCCCTTTCCTTGGAGTCTTGACCAAAGAGATTTCCCTAGTAACCAAGCTCAGAATCCACCAAACTGGCCGCTCCCCAAGGCCTGGCTGGCCGCCAGGGCAGATCTGTCAGCCCTCTCAGGGTTCGCTCCAGCTCCCCTTCATGGGCTCTGCTTCCTGCAAAGCTGGGCTCTCAGTTCTCCTTTTTTCTTGTTTTCATATGAACAAGAAAGACATCCTTGGGGAGTGTCCATTTTGCACATACTGTTCTCAACCCCTAGTGTCATCTTCCATCGAGATGGTGTTTCCTTCCTGGCCAGCATGGTTGAGTGTCGACCTAGGAACCAGGTCACTGTTCAATTGCCAGGCAGGGCACATGCCCGGGTTGCGGGCTCCAACCCCAGTGCGGTGTGAGCAGAAGGCAGCCGATTGATGATTCTCTCTGATCATTGATATTTCTCTCTCTCAATAAAAATATAATAATAATAAAAAGATGGAGTTTTCCCGGTATCACTTTTTCCACATGGGGTGGTGGTTACAGTAGAGCTGCGATTCCCAGCTGTGCACCCACCATCCCACTTCTCCCCCAGGACACTGGTGCTGCCCATTCCGTCTTACTGCTGTCCCCTAGAGCTCCCCTGGCCTTCTGAACTCCAGGCCCCAGCAAGCTCAGTGCCAGCCACCCCTTTGGCAAACATCCAGGAGGTTTACCCCTGTCAGGACCAGCGGGCTCCTTCTCTGGCTTCCTGGTCTCTGCACTCGCTCTCAGCCTTGACACACATCTGGCTGGTGTCCCTCCAGGCACATGTTTCCATATGCTGGCCAGTCCACCCCCAGCCACTCCTCTGGGAGCTCTGCCTTCCCCACCAAGTCCGTCTGTCCCTGAGGACTCTCCCGTCCGTCCAGAGGGGCTCCACTTGCATAGCCTCCATCCCTGGCCAGTCCTCAGTCCCGTAGCCCAGCTTGCTCATAGGTGAGGCTCACAGATATAAAAGGCCTGGTCTCTAACCCTCTCCGTCAAAGCTGCATCTCTTCGGCCCTGACAAGTGCCAGGACTCAGAGTGCAAACCCCCAACTTCACCCCTACCCCCACCCCACCCCCTGCCTCCACCTGTGGGGAAACTAGCTGGCTTTGAGTGAAATCAAGCTTCAGGGTTAGCGGGAGAGATGCTCCAAGAGGGAAGGAGTAACTGACCTCATTTCAGCCTCAGTATTTCAGCCTCCCCTTAGGAATGCTGTCTCCACCATGCAGACCTCCAGGGCTGCACCTGCCCTTTCCCACATGGATCCACACCCTTCCCTCGCTGGCCTTTTAGGACCACTGAGCCCAGGCCACCATGTTTAAAAGGGACACAGGTACAGAGGTAATTCGGAGCCACCTGAGCTGCTAAGCAAATGCGCAAGCATTGCTCCTGGGCCATCCCCTCCCCCTCTCTCATATTCAGTTTGCTGGCCTGTAAAATGGGTATGGCGCCTCCCCCTTCACAGAGCTGTCAGGGGAACGGATGACAGTGTATGCACCATGCCTAGCACCTAGTATTTCAGCCTAGTAGGTACTCAATGAATGAAAGGGCTTCTCATCAGAGCTGCTCACACTGAGGTCCTTCGGTCACCAGTCCTGGTGGAAGTTGTCTGAGAAAGCCCCTTAGGCACCAGAGATTTCCTAAGCATGTAAATACCACGGGATGTGGCTGACACGCCCCAGGCTGTCCCAGCAGATCGTCAGCTCGTCCCCCGGGTCTGGTCCACCCTCCCTTTCCGCCACTAAGCAATGCAGAGACACTCCATCTTACCAACATGGGCTACAAATCCACCAGCCTCATCCCCACCCAAAACACAGCTGGCCGAGTCCAGCTAGGGGCGCGCCTCCTCGCCAGACAGACATCCGAAAGCCAAATGTCCACATCATTATTTCCTGGAAAAGTGTGGCCATCACAGGAACTCTAAAACAGGAGCCTCCCTCGGGGCTTGGGAGCTAAAAAGGAAGGAGGGTGCGAGCCTTGGTAGGAAACTACTCGCTTACCCTCACACCAAATCTGTGCACCTGAGCTTCTCCTACACTCACAGGTGCTCAAATATATAGAACAAGAGGGTTAGGAACCATACTCTGAGGCCCGTGGGGGAGAGAGAGGAAGGGGGAAGAGGAGGTATCTTCCAGCCTACCTGCTCTCAAATACTACTGCGTAATTCATTCAGGGGGATTTTGTTGTTTTGCTCTGGACCATGTACCTCTAAGAGGCCAGGCTCCATCTTTAATAAGGTTTCCACTGGATACTTCCCAGGTAAACTCACCCTGTGACCATTTCACCTCTATCTTTCTTCTTTGCTTTCCTTTTCTCTCCTTTCTGGAGCTGCATGCAGCATTTGCTGTCAAAATGTGCTACTTTGTTCTTTGTGAAGTAGGTCAGGGTTAAATTATAAACAAATTCAGTCTCCATGATTTGGGCAGCCTTTTACCAGAACGTTCTGTATACATACACATTGGCGGGGAACCCCTCATTTCAGTACAACACTCCCCGGGTTACAAGGTCAGGCAGCCTTTTTACTAAAAGAGATGTCCTATAAGGTCGCCTCCCCCGCCCCAGCCCCCTCCCACCTCCGCCTCCAGGACTTCAGAAACTTCCGATCCCACTCAGGCTGCGACCATGAGCTCAGCGATTAGAGGACGGAGAGCCCTCCCAACTGTCACCCGGACAATAAGCAGCCAGTGGATTTGGCTCCACAGGTCCTGTAGCCCTGGGGTCAGGCCAGAACCCCAGGACCAGGCCACTTTCGGATTCTGGAGGGGAGAGGGCGCTGGCTGGAGGCTGTGGCACCCCTGAGTCAAGCCTGCTGATGGGGCTCCGGCTGGTGGCCAGACAGGCTCAGCTGACCAGCAAGTGGGCGGCCCGAGGCGGCCAGGCAGCCTGATCCGGGGCAGCAAGACCGTCCACGGGTCTGCAGGCTCCGGGCTCCGGGCTGCAGACGCGGGGCTGAGGGGACAAGGGGGTGCCACTTTCCCAATCCCCGATACTTGGTGCATCTCCCTTAGACCGCTGGACTCAGCAGCCCTCCGCCGGCCCCTGGCGCTGCCGGGAACGCGCCCGCCCTCCCGCTCCAGAACTCGCACAGGCAACAAGTTCTGGCTTCCCGGGGGCGCGGCGATGTGCCGGGAGGCGCGGCACCGGGGGGCGGTCAGGGGGCGATTCCAGCGCCGCATGCACCCCAAGGGGCGCCCACAGCCTTCCCATCCACAGGAGCGCGGAACCAGGGATCGGGCGCGCTCCGGCTGCCCCCGGGGCGCCCATCGGGTAGGGCGGCCGCGGCAGCCCGGGAGCAGGCAACAGGTCTGCCAGCGCGCCTAGCACCAGAGCCCCAGACCTCCCTCCCCACCCCCGGCCCCTCGCCCCTTACCTCCAGCAACTGCACGTAGCTCGCTGGGAACCAGCCGCGGAGCCCGTCCTCCTTCTCGCCTTCCCACCAGCCGCCGTCCGGGACCTGCAGCAGCGTGAGGAGCTCGCCCGCGGCGAAGCGCAGCCCCTGGCCGTGCCGCTCCCCGGAGAAGGGGTACAGGGTCCGGCAGCGGGCGCCGGACATGGCCTTGGCGCCCGGGCTCACAGCGCAGCCTGCATCCCTGCCGAGCCCCGCGGGCTGGGCAGCGGCTCCGCGGGGTCCCAGGCGCCCGGCGCTCCGGGCTCCCGCGCTCTGGGCGCGCGCCGTGTCGGGGGTGCGCGGGGGTCCCCAGCCGGGCGGAGGGCGCGCGCTCGGCGCCGGGGAGCGGAGACTCGCTGGTGTCGGAGAGCAGGCGGCGGCGGCGACGCCCCCGGGCCGGGCAGCGCGCAGATCCCAGCTCCGGGCGGGGGGGCGGGGCGCAGGGGGAGGAGACCCGGGAGCCGCGGGCTCTGGAGACAACTTCCCGGGGCGGCGGCACGCGGGCCACCACCGCCGCGAGCCCGCCCGAGCCGGGGCCGCCCGGGCACGCGGAAAGGCGCGGCTCCCGGGGGAGGTGGGGTCCCGAGCATCCCCCTCCGCGGGGCTCCGCGGCTAGGGAGGGGCCCGGCGGACGTGGAGAGGGGCTGGCGGTTGGGTGGCCCAGCGAGCGGAGGATCTCTCTCCGCGCCGGGGGCGGGGCGGGGGCTGGGCCGGAGCGGCCACGCCCGCTGAGGGCCGGGCGCTCGCTCGCCTGCCAAGGGGGCTGGTCGCTGGGGAGGGGTCTTCTCATCCACATCCCCAACACCTAGCGCGGCTGGAATAGAAACGTCCCTCCGTGCCTGTTTTCTAGGTAAGGTGGTGGGTAGCTGTGGGCACCCGCTCCGAAGTGCCCGTAGGGGAATGTGTTTGTGGCCATCACCGTGGTGGTTGAACCTGGGATTGAACTTGTCTCGCTGGGAACTGCACAGTGGGTGAAAGACGGGTTTGAAACCTGGTGCCAGAGCCGGAAGCCAGCCAGGTGGCAGCGTATTGCATGGAGGCACCACAGGGAGGGGAGGAATTGGAGTTGGTAGAATTAGAAGCAGACCCTAGAGGATAAATGAAGGGAATGGTAAGAGAACCGGCCCTCGTCGTTTTGCATGCCAAGGGGCTAGCCCAAGGCACCAGTTCTCCCGATATGGAGATGGGCCACCTGCATGTACTCAGTCAACAAACATTCCTGGGAGGCTGCCTCATTCCAGGACATGTTCCAGATACCTACTAAGGCCAGTGAACCTGGGTGCTGACCTTGAACTGAGAACATAGCAGTAAAAGAAAGCTGTGTTTCTTTGTTAGCCAACGCCACTGAGAAACTTAAAGTCCGTTTTCTAAACTATAAATAGCTGGACCTTCTCTGTATACTTCTAGCTGCTCACCCTTACATCTTGCTCAGTAACCTTCCATGGCTCCCCACTGCCTATTAAATTAAGTAGAGACTTCTCAACCTGTGTGTTGCAGGCCTTCCATAATACTTTTCCTGCCTTATCTCTCACTATGGTTGCCTAGACCAGTGGTCGGCAAACTCCTTAGTCAACAGAGCTAATTATCAACAGTACAACGATTGACATTTCTTTTGAGAGCCAAATTTTTTAAACTGAAACTTCTTCTAACGCCACTTCTTCTAAATAGACTTGCTCAGGCCGTGGTATTTTGTGGAAGAGCCACACTCAAGGGGCCAAAGAGCCGCATGTGGCTCGAGAGCCACAGTTTGCCGACCACGGGCCTAGACATACTTTACAAAATCAGTTTAGGTTATAAGAGCCTTAAGAGCTTTCGCATCTTTCTATGCTTTGAGTCAGTGGTTCTCAATCCTGGCTGTACATTAGAATCACCTAAGTAACTTTAAAATATGCTGATGACCAGGCCCACCCCAGCTTTGAGAATCACTATTGAGCCATAATCTGCATTGAAGCCATCTCACCTGAGCAATGCAATCTGACCTCTGACCACAGGCAAGTTGACAAACGCAGATTGTTTATTACACTCCATCAATTGCAAATTCACAAGCCCTTGCTTGGCTTAGAAACAGGAGAAGCAAACCTTGACCATGGGCACCAGTAAGAGTTCCTTAAAAGTTGAGCTGCAAAATTTGTTATAGAAAACAGTCACTAAAAGTAACTGACCTATTCAAGTGTTTGAAATGTCCAGTATCAGGGGAACATGCGACTGTTCACAGGCTGACCTCCGGTTTCATACCTGCTGGTAGGGCCCAGCTCAAGTTAGGAGAGCTGGTCCAGAACCTTCTTTCCACCCAGAATCCTCCGCGGTGCTCATGAGTAACCTGTGATCCAATTTGGACTTGAGAAATGTCAGCTTATACAGCCTTCCTGACACTTCAGCACTAGATCATCCACCTCAAGCAGTGCTGCAGCACCAAAACTGCTCCTGCTGTCCGTGTCTCCCAGTGCTTTCCTTTCGTTTCTGTAATCATGTGAGCTGGTGTGTCACTGCCCCCGTTTACAGGGAAAGAAACTGGGCTCTGAGGGTCTGACTTGCTCATGCTCATACGGCTGGTCAACAGTAGATCCAGGCTTTGAACTCAGATCTGCTTGTACATCAAGTGCTGCTTTCTCTAGTCCATCTTGCCAGAGTCAGGGCACTGTCCTTATAGACCATCCTCAACTAGTATCTTAAAGGCGGGCTCTCTGGCCTAAACCGGATTGGTTCAGTGGATAGAGCGTTGACCTGCAGACTGAAAGGTCCCAGGTTCGATTCCGGTCAAGGGCATGTACCTTGGTTGCGGGCACATCCCCAATGGGGGCTGTGCAGGAGACAGCTGATCGATGTTTCTCTCTCATTGATGTTTCTGACTTTCTATCCCTCTCTTCCTCTCTGTAAAAATCAATAAATATTTTTTTTAAAAAAAAAAAGAAGAAGAAGAAGGGTTCTCAAAAAGTTAACTGTTTTTAAAGAAAAAAGAAAGGGCTTTCTGGTGATATTGCAGTCTTGATAGAAGTGAAACTGTTCTGTCAGTCAGTGAAACTTCTGGCCTGATCTAATCAATGGCATAACCTCTGACAAATCCCTGTGGCCTTTTGGTCTATTTCCCCATCTGTGATTGAGACTGAATCCAGTAGCTGGAATATGGGACTTGAGATGGTTAAATGTGTAGGCTCTTCACTCCCTGCATCCAAACCTCAATCCTGCCACTTTCTAGCCATGTGCTCTTGGGCAATTTACTTAACCTGTCTGAGCCTTCTTTTTCTCATTATTAGAAGAAAATAATAGTAATATTTATATCATAGAGTTATTAAGAGTATTAATTGAGTAAAAATGTAAACTAGAGCAATACCAGGTACATTAAGTACTCAAATATTAGCCATTATTATTATCTATCTAGTGCATTGGCCCTGGTTATTTATTATCAACGCTTCTTCCAGTGCAACAATAGAAGTGAAAACTCTTACATCTTTGGAATGCCAAAAATGTTAAAGCAACACACTCTGCGTTTCTGTCTTCTTAAAAAATTTTAAAGGAAAGATGACTTTCTCCCTTATCTGTTTTCCCCTTTGCCTTCTTCCTCCCCCGTCTTCTATTACGATCTTGAACTTTTTATTTTAATTTTTAAATTATTTAATGTTTTAATAACTAAGCCGTATTTTACTGATTAGACTTGTGGTAACTCAGGGGAGGTATAGCATGCTTGTTTTAAACCTCCATCTATCCCTCAAAAAGCTAAGCATTTGAGTCCTGCAAAGAGTGGGCATTCGTTCCTGCCTTCATTTTGCAGGACCCCTGTTCATATTCCAATTTCCCATATTGCCAAGTTAGTGTATAAGCACATGTGTTAGAACATCCCGATTAGACTGTAAACACCTAGCTTTCTCTCAACGTGGTGCATTTCACTTCCAGATGCTGGCAGATGTTTCTTTTCTATCCAAGACAGCTTCATATGCCTTTCCATCATCAGCCGCTGGATGGCAGAGAAATATGAGGGTTTCCGTTTCTTAAAAACGTTGAACATAAATTTGCCAGATGATCCAGCAGTTTCCTCCTAAATGTCTACCTAAGAGAAATGAAAACAATAGGCCACCCCCCTCAAAAAAAAAAAAAAAGTGTGTGGGGAATATTCGTAGCAGCCTATTTACGATAGCCAAAAAGTGGAAATAATCCAAATGTCCCTCAGTTGCTGAACACATAGACAAGATTACCATGCCCATGCAACGGAATAGTCACTGGGCCATGAAGAGGAGTGGAGCACTGACACATGCGACAACATGGATGAACTTCAAAGACGAAGTGAAAGACCAGGCACCAAAGCCTTCGTGCTGTATGATTGCATTTATATGAAATGTCCAGAAAAGGCAAACGTGAAAGAGACAGTAAATAAATTAGCAATCGCCCAAGGCTAGGGCTGGTAATAGAGCGTACATAAGCTTGCTTCCAGGGGCGCTGACAATGTTCTAAAATTGGATTGTGGTGATGCTTGCACAACTCAGGAAATCACTGAATTGTACACTTAAAACAAGTAAATTTTTGGTATGTAAATTATACTTCAATTAAGCTGTTAACATAAACCAAAAAATAAACAAAAGAAATAAAGGCCTCATTCATTCAACAAGAGTAGTTTTCCCTACCATGTGTGCTAGCATTCTAAGACAACCTGAAGAGCCATATGCACATGCTATGAAATAGCCTGGAGACACAGAGAGAAAAATGACAGCATATATAAAGAACTTCTCTCTTTTTAAATTTTATGTATTGAGTTTGAGAGGGGGGGTGGTAGAGAGAGAGACAGAAAGAAACATCTATTTGTTGTTCCTCTTATCCACGCATTCATTGGTTGGTTGTCTGTGGCCTGACCAGGGATTGAACCCACAACTTTGGGGTATTGGAACGATGCTCCACTAACTGAGCTACCTGGCCAGGGCTAAAGAATTTCTATAGATCCATGAGAAAAAAGGTGGATGGCTCAATAGAAAAAGGGCAGATCCTGCCCACCCCCGCAGATCCCTGGTGCCCCACACACACCCATTGTCCAGCCAGAGGAGACCCCAGCCCATCCCTGCTTCTCTGGTGAGAACTAGAGGTTTCATTTGCAAAAGGAACATGAAGGGAAGAAGGAGAAAGAAGAGGGTAAAAGAGAAAGGAAGGAGGGCCTCAGAAAAATGAAATGAGTTGTGGGA